TAATTCATAATTTTTTGGTTCTAATCACATTTCAATTAAACTTGGAAACATAGATTTTCTGTTACATTGCGCAGACCTCATTAGTTTTACACTCAAATCTGGTCATATTAATTTTCTGATTTGCATAATTAGTTTTCAGCTAAGTAATTTCCAATTATATTTAATGTGTCTCCAATACTCTCAGCACATGGGAGTTCTTTCTAAGCTTTCTTTGATCTATCTTCTGTTCTTTAATTGCAATGTGCATTGATAACATCGGAGCTATCTCAGCCAACAGGGTGCTAGTTTTTATTTTTGGTATTCTAATGACATTCACTCAAGACAATGAAAATATAGAAAAAATGACATATAATCATCAATTCAGCTTGAATCTCCTTGAATTATTATAGGTAGAGAGCACCTATGCTGAGTAGAATGCAGAAGCATATTAGTATTAAGGCCAGAGGTTACCGCATCAGATGTAAAAAATGATAATATCTAACATATTTTAGATGGATATTTTGATGGATAGTTTCTAATTATTTACACTCTTGCTGTTCATGAATTTTAAAGGAAGATGAAGTTCTAGATCAAATTGGTGAAGAAATAACCGATATTGAGGTTGAAATACAGAAGAAAGAAAAAGAATTTCAAAAGAAGATAGAAAGAGGCAAAATGTCCAATGCTGACTATGCAAAGTTGTTAGCTGAACACGATGAGGAAATGGAAAGGTTGCGAAGGAAGTTAGCATTGCAGAAAGACAGGCAGCGTCAAAAATTACTTGAGAAGATTGCCGCACGAAAGAACAAAAAGGATATGAGAGCCACTGAAGAGGAGCAGCGAGCAAAATTATTGGCGGCTTTGGTTAGTATGGGTATATATAGTTTTTGTGTAGCTGTGTTGGTTAGTATGGGGTATACATAGTTCTTGTATAGCTGTGTTGGTTAGTATGGGGTATATGTAGTTCTTGTATAGCTGTGTTGGTTAGTATGGGGTATATATAGTTCTTGTATAGCTGTGTTGGTTAGTATGGGGTATATATAGTTTTTGTGTAGCTGTGTTGGTTAGTATGGGGTATACATAGTTCTTGTATAGCTGTGTTGGTTAGTATGGGGTATATGTAGTTCTTGTATAGCTGTGTTGGTTAGTATGGGGTATATGTAGTTCTTGTATAGCTGTGTTGGTTAGTATGGGGTATATGTAGTTCTTGTATAGCTGTGTTGGTTAGTATGGGGTATATGTAGTTCTTGTATAGCTGTGTTGGTTAGTATGGGGTATATGTAGTTTTTAGTAGGCTGAATCTGTGGCACACAGGGTAGTGGTTTACCCTTTTGGTGTTCAATCCCAGGAGGACGAGTCTGTGGCACACAGAATAGTGGTTTACCCTTTTGGTGTTTAATCCCAGTAGGATGAGTCTGTGGCACACAGGATAGTGGTTTACCCTTTTGGTCTTCAATCCCAGTAGGATGAGTCTGTGGCACACAGGATAGTGGTTTACCCTTTTGGTGTTCAATCCCAGTAGAATGAGTCTGTAGCACACAGGATAGTGGTTTACCCTTTTGGTGTTTAATCCCAGTAGGATGAGTCTGTGGCACACAGGATAGTGGTTTACCCTTTTGGTGTTTAATTCCAGTAGGATGAGTCTGTGGCACACAGGATAGTGGTTTACCCTTTTGGTGTTTAATCCCAGTAGGATGAGTCTGTGGCACACAGGATAGTGGTTTACCTTTTTGGTGTTCAACCCCAGTAGAATGAGTCTGTGGGACACAGAATAGTGGTTTACCCTTTTGGTGTTTTATCCCAGTAGGATGAGTCTGTGGCACACAGAATAGTGGTTTACCCTTTTGGTGTTTAATCCCAGTAGAATGAGTCTGTGGGACACAGAATAGTGGTTTACCCTTTTGGTGTTTAATCCCAGTAGAATGAGTCTGTGGGACACAGAATAGTGGTTTACCCTTTTGGTGTTTAATTCCAGTAGGATGATTCTGTGGGACACAGAATAGTGGTTTACCATTTTGGTGTTTAATCCCAGTAGAATGAGTCTGTGGCACACATAATAGTGGTTTACCCTTTTGGTGTTCAACCCCATGTAGATGAGTCTGTGGCACACAGGATTGTAGTTTACCTTTTTGTGTTCACCCAGTAGAATGAGT